ATGGTGATGTGGCGGCTGGCGTGACGGTAGTGGAGGTGGGTGTCACGATGATGCACGGCAGTGGCGACTGACAGTTAGTGCACGCTGCTGAAAAATAGATGACGATTGAGTTGTCTCTGCTCGTGCTGTGCTACGGCTGCGGCTGGTCGCGGGGTGCGCGCGGCGCGGGCGTATGGTGTACACAGATTTGCGTCCGCAGGTGCGAGCAATCGGGAAAACAGAATACTAACAGAGCGCGGCAGAACAGACTATGAAACACGGAGGTTGACACGCCGGCGTAGCGAACACCGATGAAGCGCGACAGAATCTATTTACGCTTGCTGCTCCTGCTGCTGCTTGCTGCTGTGTTGCCTGCTGTGCTGCTGCGCTCCTTGGCGGCTGGCTGCTGCTGCTGGTGTGTTGCGCGCTGCTGCATCCGCCTCGCTCCTTGCTGTGCTTCTCTGCTGGCTGCTGCTGCTGCTGCTGTGCTGGGGCTGCTCCTGCGGGCCGTCCTGCTGCTGCGCTGCTGGCTGTCTTGCTGCTGCTGCTGCTGCTGCGCGGCGGTGTCCTACAGCCCGTGATGCTGCTAAATTGATTTCCGCTGACACAGCAGCGCGTCGTAGTAGTAGTAGAACACATTTCAGTAAAGCGCCTGGCGATAGAACGTGCGGTGGTCGAGTAGGGAAACACGTGTTAGCCAAAAATTGCTGCCAGTAGACCGTGTTAGTCTGAGGCGAAACGTGTTAGAGAAGGAACATGGCGCGAGTAGAACACGGTAGAGAACACATCTTAGAATCAAAACACTGCTGCCAGTAGAACACGTGTTAGGAGAACACATGTTAGAAACACATGTGCCAGTCGTACACGTGTTAAGAGAACACATGTTAGAAAAACATGTGCCAGTAGTACACGTGTTAGGAGAACACGTGCCAGTGGAACACGTGTCAGTAGAACACGTGTCAGCACAACACATGTCAATCGAACACATGTCAGTAGAACACGTGTCAATAGAACACGTGCAAATAGAACACGTACAAATAGAACACGTAACAGTAGAACTCTTGCCAGTAGAACACACGGATGAAAAGCTACCACACGAACATGAAACAATTCGTGAACCCATCCCGTCTGGCGCTTACTCAATGCCCCCCTCAATGTGATATTAATGCTAACCCACGTCTAATTAACAGACCTGTCTAATGACCACTAATGAGTAACGACTGACCCATCCAACAGCTGTCCCCGAATTAGACCCCAATGCTTATTTTCAATAAGTACGTAGAGGCTTCCGTGCACTAGCAATAACCAAACCACAGTTGGTCCGAAAGTAATATAAGAGTAAATAACTGAAACTAGTAATTTTTACGAATATTCGTATTTTTCGTAATAATACCAAGTGCTAATAATACCTATATTATAACTCTTATATATAATAACTCTGGTATGATTAGCTCTTGATAATACGCATATTTTACGAGAACGACGATCACACGCTCGCCAGGCGAACATAAGTGGTGTGAGATCCCTTCCCCTTCGGTCTTTGCACACCTCCCTCCTCCCTCTCCCTCTTTCTCCCTCCCTGCCTCCCCCCAACCCACCGCACGCACTCACGGGCGTGGCCTGGTCGATGATGGAACGCCGCGAGCTGCCGTCGCCATGGCTACGCGAAACAATCTCGACGGAAGAATGCGGTTAATTACGTTCAATTAACACTTCTCACGCGCAACGCGCTTTTTTGTTGCGCGTCTAATTAAACACGGCTCCTGTTCACCGTTCACTTTTGTACGTATAACCTCCCCCTCCCCCCTCCCCCCGCGCAGTCAGCTCGCGGCAACGCTGATACTGCTTCCTACGGTGACAGCAGCAGCGGTGACGGAGGCGGTGACGGCGGTGGCGGTGACGGCAACGAATTTGTATTTAATTAGCAGTTGTTTACGCGCCGCCTTTGTTTCGCCGACCCGCAGGTAGTTAGCGGCGGTGACGTCATCGTGCACGTGACGCGCTAGAGGCAGAGAGGGGGAACAATGGGAGAGAATGCGCGCGTGTGAGAGAGCGAGAAAGGGAGAGAGAAAGTGAGAAAAAAGAGACAGAGACAAAGAGAGAGAGAGAGAGAGAGAGAGAGAGAGAGACACACACAGACAGATATATATATATAGAGAGAGAAAGAGAGAGAGAGAGAGAGAGAGAAAGAGAGACACACACACAGACAGATATATATATATAGAGAGAGAAAGAGAGAGAGAGAGAGAGAGAGAAAGAGAGACACACACACAGACAGATATATATATATAGAGAGAGAAAGAGAGAGAGAGAGAGAGAGA